CCAGCTGGGAGATTCTCCGAAGCTTTGCCGGCTCTACGGCGCATTCACCACTAGCCGCTTGGGGGAGATTCTCCGAAGCTTTGCCGGCTCTACGGCGCATTCACCACTAGCCGCTTGGAAGAGACCCAACCGCCGACGCAAGGGCGGAGTCGCACACCTCTCTGCCCCCCACCTCCTAGCTCGAAAAGACTAGCACCACCTCCTAATTGCCATGCAAGCAACTGATTTGCACAAAAATCATTTGACAGCGTAAGTCATTTTGGGGGGCTCTATTAATAACTCTCTAGGAGCAGGTGTGCTTAGGGTCCAAGGGCGCAGCGAGGTGTGGACAGCGAGGACCGCCCCTGCCTTGCGGTAAACAGGAAAGCTTTGCGCCTCGGTGAAGCAACTGCCTTTTCTTCTTCTTTCCACCCACCCCCCTGCCCCGCAAGCCAGTGCAAGTACATTTAAAGGCATTCAGTGAAAACCATTTATAAGAGATTGCAGCAAATCCCAGAAGTCTCGCACATTAACTGATTGCGTAAGTTTAGCCAACGCACACACTACACACACGAGAGTTTACTGCTGATAGTAATAGTATACTCCACCACATACCTAATTTCGAATGCAAAACTAACTCTCCAGAAACTCACAAAAACAGACGCCTGGTGCATTGCTAAGCCGGCGCCGGCAGTTTTATTTACTGAGGTCGTCCACTGCTTTGCCTCCCGCAGACACACCAGAAAGTGTGAAAGGAACGACGCACAGCACTGGCCCGCAAAAGTCTGTTAGTTGCTCCAGTGTTTCAGCGCGACGCAGCAGAGTGAGAAAAGTAAAGTAACGGAGGCGGGAGCAAACCCAGCAATGCCCCACACAGCAGAAGCTGCTCGCGCCAAAAAGATCTTCCTTTTCCCCATCTAATTCCACACTCTGCTAGCGGGCATTGCAAGTTCAAGCCGTCACCTCCAGCCCCCATATTCTTTGTCTATAGGATTAAAAAAAAAAGAAGAAGAAAAGAAAAAAAAAAAGAAAAAAAAAGCTCCTTCCCTTCTTCCCGGACCAACCGCGGCTTCCATGCCTCCCTCTCCCTTCCCCAGGCGCTTCTACAATGGGAATTAGCCGTTTTTTCAAACTCCATAAATCACCACTGTCCCAAGAACAATCCTATCGATGTGGGCTTCTTAACAGCCCAGAGATGCACGGCTTTAACTCCCAGGGATGGGTGCTTCTGAAGTTTTTGCTTTCTTCGTTCAGTTTAAACATTCGTTTCTGCCACCAACCCCTCCGGTAGGGGGGCTCCCGGCGCCCCCGCCCGCACCAGCGCCAGTGCCCGCGCAGCTCGCAGCCCCTTACCTCTCTCAGGCAGGACGAAGTTGTGTTCGGAGAGGTCGGAGTCTGCACGGAGCTCTCGGCATCTTGCTGCTGCCCGCGACTGACTGCGTGGTGCTTTTTCAAACTTACTGCAGTCGGGGTCCCCTCCCTCCGCAGCCGTGCACTCCAATGGCCAGCTCCGCTCGCCACGGCCAGCGCTTGCCTGCGAGGTGAAGTCGCCTAGCGCCGCGCCAAGGCTGAGTGGCTTCTTTAGGAAGAGACTGGGAGGGGTTAATGCCTAACCACCACGCCCCCTGTCAGCAGCAGGGGGCCCCGGATCTGTCCTGGAAAGATCTGGGGCAGAAAAAAAAAAAAAAAAAAAAAAAAAAACCCTCCTCCCAACCAGAAGTTGAAGACGAAGAAAAAAAAAAAAAAAAAGAAGGGGCGGAGCCCAGTACCCCTTGAATTCTAATGTATAAATCACAGCCCTCGCGCTGAGAGCAGCGTCTCCTGCGAGGTGGGCAGGATTGTCGGAGCCCTGCAAAGAGAGGAGCTGGAAAGCCTTTGGAAACTTCTTCCGTAAAGTCGTAAGGCACAGAGGACCACCAGAAGTCTGGTAGCGCACCTCCCTGGTCCCCCACCGCCGCAGCCCTTGCAGGATCCGAGTCCCGAGATTGTGGCCGGCTGTCCCGGGGGCCACTTCCGCGAGGGCAGGGGAAGCCAGAGTCGCGGCCCAGCTAGTCCTGGCCGCGCTCTGGGGAGGAGAGGCTGGGAAGGGGCTGCGGGAGGTATGGAGAAGGCCAGCAACAGCGAGGGAGAATGGACTCGGAGCTTTCTCTGCCCCTCTGCCCCTCAACCGATCGCAGTGCGACGTGGAAACCCGTAGTCAAAGCGGCAGAAAGTGACTTTCTCGGGACACCAGTGAAGAGGGCCAGCACCTTGATGTTGGGTGGTGGTTCCCCTCTTTCAATTGGCCCCCAGTTTAGGCCCCGTGTCCCAGATTCTGGTCAGTGGTGCTGCCTTAGAAGCGACGAGCCGGCTGCCGGGTCCTGAGACATTTCAATAGCTCCAGCAGTTCAGGAGTTTCCAAAGGGGAAGAGCTGCGTGACGGCCCAGCAGGGCGCCTGTGCCTGCCCAGTTGGCTACCCGCACCCATCTCTCCCTTTCAACTTGAGGGGCACCTCATAACCCCCCAAATCTCAATAATCTCGCACCTCTCCAGTCCTTCCCTTTGCTTAGATGCTAATTAAAAGTGTGAGGAAGAGGCCACCCTGGTTATATCTGCCCGAAGGGCAAGCTCAGGGCACTTCTGCCCCTGCTCTGCTGTTACAATAAGGTATCCACCCAGTCCTGGTCTCGCTGCCGTCCCATCTTGGCAAATGTGAACTCAAAACTTCCTCCGCTGTGTAGTTTCAATTGTCAGACACACCCTGTACCTGAATGACTCAGAAAGGGCTGAACGAATAAACAACAGACCCCTTCGTTCTGGGATTTTATGAGTTTGCAAAAAAAAAAAAAATAGTGACAGTTAATTCACAGCTGCCTTAAAACCCTCATCAACGTATACCACAAGTTCAACATGATACATGACACCACATGGAAACCAACGCTCTTCTAGACTCCAAAATAGATTTTCAGGGGGATCCAGGATTTACTTAAACTAAAATGGGAGACATGTGTCTACCCAGCACAACCCAAATGGAGAGCTGACACTCCCACCGACACACACTAATTTATGAGTTCTTGAAAGTAAAAAAGAAAGTGACTTACCTACCTCAAGTAGGTAAGTAAGTAGCTCTAGGACGTGATAAATTTAACACCACTGGTGTGTGAAGCAAGCAACTACTGTTGACCATTTTATTGAGAAGGGAAATGTCACTCAAAAGTTTAGCAACTTGTACATTTCCCAGCTGGTGAGTGTAAAAAACTAGGCTCCAAAAGGTAAATACTTTAGATGCCTTCTCTCTTAATTTAAATGCTACCAGCCAATTAACTGTTAAAGGACTGAAATGAAGGAAAGCAAATCTCTAGATTTAATGTTTAAAATTTGTAGTCATTTCTTTTTTTTTCTTTTTCTTTTTTTTTGGGGGGGGGTGGGAGACGTTTTTGCTACACGGCACGTGCGCTCACCAGACAGATAGAGATAGAGAGACAGAAAGTGAGAAATCACCCCCCCAGGGGGGATGGCTATGCCACAATCCGTTTTCCTCCATTCTCCTCTCAGGATCTTGGACACGCACGCACACGCGCCCGGCGTGAGTTTTAAGCCACCAGGTCTGGGATGCGAACCGCGGTCGACTACATGGGAGTCCAGCGACATAGCCATTATGCTAACTGCTGGTCCCTAAAATTTGTAGCCATTTCTGAATGGACATGTCTACAAAATGTATCTAAGACTCTGCTAATGAGTGTGGCCTTTGAAACTACTATTTCCTGACTATGAATGTATACAAAAACTATACAGGTATATATTAATAAATGTATTTAAAACCTCTCATTGTCTGCCTATGATACCTAACAGAATATTGTAGTTTTTGTATATTTGTGTACCAGATTCTGAGAGTTACACGTAGTATCTCATTTAATCCTTACCGTCTATGAGTTAGATGCTATTGTTATCCTAATTTTACAAACCAGGAAATGAAGTCCCACACATATTAAGCAACTTGGTTAATGTGGGATACGCCCATAGACACGCTTCAGACTCCTAACCACCACTGCAAACCACCACGATAAACCTCAAACATGTCAAAGAACTTGGTAGGAGCTGTCAGTCCTTTTTTGTGAATACCACTGGTGAGAACAACATTTACTGTTGATCCAACATATTAAAGAGCCCAAATATTGGGCAGATAATTATTTACTAATATTCATCCTCGTGCACGTCCATGAGATACACAACGTGGGTAACTATTCAGGCAAAATTAGAAAGTAAGCAACATTTTCTACAATGGCTTCCCTGCCAATTCCAAGTCTTGGGTTCTTCACATTGCTCTCCAGGAATG